AGGCAAAACAATTTAGAACCTAAAAGTCCTAAATTAGCCTTCAGTTTCTTATACATATTATAACTTCTTATTTCTTTCTTTGAAAGAATAACCCAGACATATTCTTGACATGGTTTGTGAGATTCACTCCTTAGTCCTAATTTAGCTGAATACTAGAAAAAAGAACAACGCCAGCTCTTCCTGACATTCAAAACTTGGCACATCTTGTGCTACTAACAAACAATTCGAATGCAAGCTATGAAACATGTACCTAGAGGGGCTTCTGATTGAAAAATCAACACAATTTATCAGAGATGTCTAGGGTGAGTTTCACAGCCTCATTTTCCTCGCCCCAAAAGATTAACCAGGATCTGACATGGCTGTGAAGGGCCGGAGGAAAGAGATACTGCAGCGACCCAAAATACCCTGCACAGTCACAATGCATCTGTATAAAACAACTCTCCCGTCCCCTCTGCCCCTCATTGTTAAGCCATGTCAGGCCTGTTACACTGCTAACACAAAGTAAACGCCCTCTAGGACAAGAAAACAATCCCTGCTGGCGATGCACTGACCATCTGACCCAACACGCAATGGCCTCAGTCCCAACAGAGACCCTGCCACCTCTGATCTGGCTGTAGGACTGAGAATAGTCAGCCACTGGCCTTCAACAAACATGGCGGATCTCATGTTACTCTTTTGTGCCCATAGTGACCTCATTCCTTCAATACATCCACATCAAGTCTGAAATGTTCTGACCCCTGAAATGGCAACACACACAAAGAGTGAGTCATCAGAGAAAAACGAGTTAGCTGCACAGTTTCTTACTCTGAAAGCTTGAGGGAATAGTCCAAATTCTACCAAAAAACAGCCTGTTCCTGTTCACTTGGAATAAAGCGCACAAGCCATACAGTATGGACTAGTTTTATGTCATGTCAAGTTACCTTTATTTCTATAGCACTTTACACAATACAGATTGTGTCGAAGCAGCTTCACAGTATAGCAGAATCAATTGTAACTCAACTATGCAGATTCTGCTGTAAAGCAGCTCTAAAAGACAGTAGTGTCATTATTTAGCTCAAGTAGGTTCAGTTCAGATAAATAACTAATCATGCTGTATGCTTTCATTGTATTGAAAGTTTTTGGGTTTGACAGTAAATAATTAGGCATGAGGGTGAGTAAATGAATGTATGTTCATTTTCTGGTAAACTAGTCTTTTGAACATCAGAAACCTATGAGAAACACCATAGTCTCTGAAGCTTGCAAACAGCATTAAACATTCGTGTTAAAAACATGTTAACATTTCATTCATATTCATTTTCTGATGCTCACCAAGGCTGCATTTATTTGATCACAAATACAGTTAAAAACAGTAAAATCGTGAAAACAGTAAAATTTAAAATAGATGTTTTCTATATGAATGTATTTTAAAATCTAATTTATTCCTGCGATGCAAAGCTGAATTTTCAGCATCATTACTCCAGTCTTCAGTGTCACATGATCCTTCAGAAATCATTCTAATATGCAGATTTTTTTGGATTTTACACTTTTTTTTTTTTACATACAATCATATTCATAGAAATATTGTATAACATGTATTCTTTATAAATACAATGAATAAATATGTACATTTAAAAACATAAAATGATATTTTAAATATAAAGATTAAATATATAAAAACTTTACTGACCCCAAAGGTAGTATACGAACAATCAGAAGTAAATGCGTGCAAATGGTACACTCACACTTACTGCTATACATGTGTAGCCTTCAAATTAAACGTCAGAAAAACATTCCGAAATAAACAAGCGCTTATGTTTAGCCCTCTTTTGAAGAAGAGAAATAAGAGTATTTAACGATTCACTTAGTAGCCTAAGGCAGCATGTAAGACAGAGATTTCTGTTAAGAGGAACTCTAGTGATTAACCCAGCGAGAGAGAGAGACAGAGAGACAGAGAGAGAGAGAGAATGGCTCCGTTCCAAAACCCAGTGAGCTGCCTTCTAAGGCAGCATCTTAACTGAGATGGAACGTCACAAGTAACCGTTTTAGAACGTTCTACATGACGTGCTTCTCTAATAAGCATAAAAACACACCGCACACATACATATTGGCTGAAGTACTTCATTTTTCATTAGATTTCATTATCTTTATCAATATCTGTGCAGTGTTTTGTGAATTACATCACGATATTTAGAACTAACATTTAATTGTATGATCCACGTCTTGGATTTTTTTCATCAAGGTTGTCTTAATGTATTATAGAATCGTCTTTTCTGTGAAAGATATATGCATGGCTGCCTTTGGTGATACCTTAAAATGCTGCATACGTAGGCAGCGCATTTTGTAAGTAATCTCAGAGTAATGAGATTGAGGAAAAAAGATAAAGGAAGATGACGAGGGACCTGCTGATGACATCATGACTCTGAAGAGCGTCAGGAGACGCCGCGTGGAGATCATGAAGCTCGTGGAGGCTGGTGAAACTTCATCTCTAACGTCCCCGGGAGGGCATTCCTGATGCCAAAGACGGAAGTATAGATCAGATTATGAGCGAGATTTCTGATGTTTTCTGGAAAATAATTTGACTTGAATCAATTGTGGACTTAAATTCTCAAGCCTTTAAACTCCTGGGAAATAACGTAGAGGAAGTTACTGAATAATAATACATCTGAGCCTTTTGCCAAGATTATCACATTTCGCATAGCAACTCTTACTTCATTTTCATTTGACAACTCTCATCTCACCGTTTTTAAAGATTTATTTTTGGCGTTTTTGCCTTTTATTGATAGGATAGTAGTGAGACAGGAAGCGAAGTGGGAGAGAGAGGGGGGATGGGATCGGGAAAGGTCCGCGAGCCGGGACTCGAACACAATGGCGCTACATGTCGACCCGCTGCCCACGAGGCTATCAGTGACATCAAATCATCATTATTATCAGTATTCATTATTGATGCTTGCCCAGTCAAGCGTTACTATTAACATACAGTAGCTCATTAGTATCATGTGACTCATCTAGTAAAGAGATTCTATTGCAATTTATGTCTTAAAAATAAATCATTACTTGTGTTAGGGTCAGACATACTTTCTTGCATTTCAAATTAAACCATATATTTATGTTACATTTCCTAATAAAAGTTACTAGTTAACTGGCAAGTGACAGGTTTTATGTAGTCATTATTTTATTTTATTTTTTTACATATAATAATATTTATATATTTAATAACATTCATCCTTTATAAATACAGTGAATAAATATATACATCAAAAATGTAAATACATAATTAAAATTATATTACAAAGGATGAATATATAAATACAAAAAAAATCCACATTATAAATATAAAGAATATATAAATTGAAAAATATATATTTATATCACAAATACAAATAATAAACATATAAATTAAAAGGACAAGTTATAAAAAAATATATAAAATTATAAATATAAAGATCTATATAAATTGAAAAATATTTATATCATTAATACGAATACTAAATATATAAATAAAAAATTTTTTTAAGTGTATTCGGGCTGAATAAGAAGCCGTTCTCGATTCCTAACCCCGCATGGGCCGTGTGCTGTATAAGCAAGCGTATCTGTCAGTGGTTAATGTCAGCTCTGATTATGCCGGTCCCGGGACAGCCTGCGGTCTTTAATGAGGGCTGGAGATTTATACCTGCAGATCAGCAGGGAGCAACAGACACTCGGGCAGAGGACAAAGTCAACCGAGCATCGCCTGGCACTCGTACCGGTCCGCTCGTCATCCAAATAACAAGATTAAGTGAGCAATGCAGCAAAAGATTCATGAACAGAGAGAGGAGATCAGCTAAAGACAGAGTAGAGGAAAGGTCACGAGAGAGAGGAAGCTGTACACAGAGACGAATTAATAGAGATGAAACAACACATGATCAATTGAAGGTGTGATTTATCTGTCCTTAAATGTCACGCTTCTTAGCAAGAATAAGCTGCAATTTGGACTTAAAAATTAATTGTGAATGACTGAAATTTCAGTATAAAATAAAATAAAATAATTATTTTTGAAGCTCCAGTTTTAAATCCTACAAGCACTTACATTATCAGCTTTAAATAAAACATATTTAAATAATATAACCATTAAATACTTTATTTGAATTCTATATTGGAAAAAAATTTAAAGTATTAATTTCATGTTTAAAACATAGGTAAATATTCATTAAATGCTATTTCTGTCAGGACCACTATCGTCAAAGATGATTGACAATTAGCATACAGTTTGGATTGGCGGTATGGTTCCGTTCTGGGCAAGAACTCCCTGCGCATCCGTGCAGCCTAGCATGGATGAGAGCAGGGAGAGCAGCGATAACCCACCCAGGGTAAACAGAACAGAACCAACATAAATGTATTGCAGATATCATTAAAGCTCAATAATATTATGTACACATTTTAGAATTAGTTTTATTCAAAGGAGAATCAGAAGGCTGAATCCCGACTGACAGAGGAGGAGCTGGGGATGGAGGAGGGTAATTAGCTATTGAGCAATGCAAAAACTGCTGATACTACTGCAGGACCTTATATATGAATGCTTAGATAGGTGTAGTGTTCCCATAGGTAGATGGGGATCAGCTGAGAGTCAGCTGATGCGAGCTTGACTAACGTGACCTGCCGGAACTAAAGCTACACTTGATATTAAGACTGGCTGGAAATAAAATTAAATAAAATTAAATAATAAAATTAAACAATTACTTTTTATTTTTCAAATACATTTTCAAAAACAATATTTAAAATGTATATATTTCCAAGATTTTTCAAACGGCTGTTTAAGAATCCACTTGACGAGAGGGGGAAGAGGCTTAGTATGTCTTTAAAGCCAAACAGCTTAACTGTCAAATCTTCACAGGATGGGAATTTATACCATGGCTTAGCTAGGCTTATTAATATAAATTAGTTTAGTGCAGTCCAGGAAGGTTACTTAGCACTGTCAGCTAATTATAATTACGTCCTAATGAGACATCAAATCTCTGCTCAGAGTCACATGATGAACTTCTTACCATGACTGTTACAGCGTGACGTCTCCACGAGCTTGTTGTCCTGGTCGTAGCACACCATGGCCTGGTAGCGGTAGCCCTGTCCGCACTCTTTAACGTCTCCCTGGACCTTCACGCCAACGGCGCTCTCCACGCGGCCCTCGGGCAGGATGCAGTCAGACCAGTTTCCCACCGGCTGGGCGTTGTATTTGTCACAGGGGCAGTACTGGGTCTCGCTCAGCGGGTACATCTGGCCATTCTTACACTTATCCTTCTTCTTGCTTTTTCCTGTAATCAGAGGAAGTGAGTGTTGATTACGGCACTAATTAAGCTCACTAATGAATGAGTCATGAGCGCTGAGGTCACCTCTAAACCCTGCCTCAGACTCGACTGGCTGGACTAATGCTTACAAAAAATATAATCATATTACCATCATTTTTGGACATGATATGAGGCAATAACATGCCGTGTTGTTAATATATCATGGTAAACCATCTAACCATCTGGGTTATACATCTAATATTTATGATATGTTCACGAATTAGGTTTTTGTTGGCAATATATATTTAATTTATTATTTAAAATGTTATAGTAAAAATAAACACAGGTTTATTAGAACAATACCACTCACATTTTCTTCAGAAAAATTAAAACAAAATTAAAAAGGCAAAATAAAAAAAACCTATTTACTTCAGAAAATGTACATATCTAGTTATTATGTGTATTGTTTTATTGGTGTATATAAATAAAAGGGACTTCATATATTATAATACGCTACAGTTCAAAAGTCTGAAGTCAGTGTATTTTTTTGACAGGAATTAATAAAAAAAGAAAGAAAAACAAATCAAAAATTAAAACAAAATTAAAAAGGCAAAATAAAAAAATTATTTTCTTCAGAAAATGTACATATCTAGTTATTATGTATTGTTTTATTGGTGTATATAAATAAAATGGATTGAACATATTATAATACGCTACAGTTCAAAAGTCTGAAGTCAGTGTATTTTTTTGACAGGAATTAATATTTTTATTTTGCAAGGACACATTAAATTGATCAAAAGTGACAGTAAAAATATTTATAAAGTTACAAATGATTTCCATTTCAAATAAATACTGTTCGTTCAAACTACCTTTAATAAAAATAAAAAAATAAATATTTTTTTTTTATAATATTTCAAAATAATACTGGCTTTACTGTATTTTTGATCAAATAAATTAAGCTTTGGAGCAGTACTATTTTATAATCATTGCAATATTATTATAGATTTTATTAATATTTTGAATCAGCTTTTATTTGTATATTTTCTGTTTCTATTTTGAGTTTTAGTCAAGTTTTATACATTTTTGTTGTGTATTTTTGTTATTTTTAGTAGTTCTTATCTAATTTATATATGTCTATATAGTTTCTAATAATTGTTTTATTTATTTATTTCAGTTTTAATTTTAGTTATTTAAGTACATCAGGTTGAACTACATTAAAATGAGAAATGTTGCATTGGCAAATAGTTGAAACGTTTTTTTAATTTATTTTTATTTGATTTGATTTAAGTTACCATTGATTTAATTAATTATTATTATTTTTTTACTTTTAATTTCAGTTTTAGTTTACTAAAATAACTCTACCTAAGTGATTTCTTTTAAAAACATAAAATAAATAAATACATAAATAAATAAAAATCAATCAATCAATTCCAAACTTTTGAATACTAGTGCATATAAAAATATTTCAACAATATTTTTTTTACTGTATTTCAACATTTTAAACAATTATAGAAATATCAAGATATTTTGAATATTGTAATATATATATA